GGACCCGAAACGTTAACTCTGTTTTCTCCTCCACAGATGCTGCCAGAAGACTTTGTTAGTGTTATTTGTACATTTAGCAGCCAAGTAGCATTTGGAAGGTGGCAGCAAGGGATAGGCTTTATAGACCAATTGATCTTTTTACATCGCCAATCTGCCTTTGCTTATTTCAAAAGGTGGCCTTATCCAGATCAAATGGTGCTATAACCAAACATGTACCTCTTTCAATGAGATTTCGTTTGCAGTTCTCTCTTCAGTGAGGATCTCCTCATATAGATCAAAACAATCTTTAGCAGATTTACCCTTTCCTGTAGTGTCAACTGCAATAAAAATGTAACTTCATAACAAATTCATAGATCAATTACAGGAATAAAAAGGTTATTTTCTTTTCAAAAGATCTTCAAGGCATAACAGACATCTATAAATATAAATCTAACTGATGCTAAGCCTCCAGAAATTTTCCTTTAAATTTGACCTTCAGATAGCATGCAAGTAGAAGAGGCAAGTACTCTGTACTTACACTGTTAAGTCAAGATTAGAAGAAAAGAACTTGTATTTGAATAGTGTCTTTCATGGCCTCAGGAAATCCCAAAGCATTTGACAGACAATATATCACTTCTGAAGCATTATCAATGTTGCTTCAGAAGGATACACAGCTGTCATTTTCAGTGCAGAGTCTTATTACCAGCAAATTAAATAGGTGAAATCTTGATGGCAGTTGAAAGAAAAATATGGGCCAGGACACCATATGGATGTTTCGGTCCCCTTTGACTTGAGATAGGGTATCCTATTTACACACCCGAACATTTAGGAAGCATTAGGGTTCAAAATAAAACAAAACAAAGGTCTACGAGCAATGTTCTCCCTCTATATTGGATCCAGGTGCTAGCCCAAATCATACACTCAATTCCCAAAGCAATGAACTCAAGACTGAAGGCAAAAATACAGCCACTGGCTCAAGCTTATGGTTAGTACCAGGTATTGATTTGCAAGTTATCAACCTACAAAACCAACTGCACGCTCTGCCACACGAGGATTACAAAAAAAAGAAACTTGTGCATTACTAATGCAGACTCCATAGTGCAATAACAATTTCCAGCAACTGTCCTCACAAGTAGTTAGTGCTTAAAGAGATTTTATGGGCTTTATATTGGTTTATGGGTTTTATTGAACCTTTATTAAATTTTATCTTGTACAATAATGACAATGTAAATTGATATCTGTTAGCTTCTTTCCTAGGTTTTTGTACAAGACAGAACACAAGAAATGTAACCATATCAACAGACTGTAAATGCATCAGAATGGGCATGTGAAATGCATAATCAAACACAATTTATCAGCTGCATCTCAATTAATTAGTGGTCCAGATAAGTCTCACAAATAACATAAAACAGCACCAACGATTACTGTCCCACTCCTCTGAAGACTCAGTTTATAGTCTCCTCTCCCTTCCTACTTGCTTTGGTTTCAGTATTACATTATTGTTAGAACTTGTATTTGGAAGTTTTGCAGGACCAATTTCTTCAGCTAATGACAGCATGTAGGAATTACTTTGAATTCTGCTCCTCCCTTTCACCCAACATTTCTCTTTGCCATTCCCCTCCACAGTATTTGTTATTTTCCCTTTGGTCCATCTCAGAAGATTTCACAAAACTCCCTATTTGGAAGGCTGAAATCTACTCATCATTCTCCAAGCACTTCCACTTTTTTGAATCAATTCACACCAAAGTACAATTAATTAGTGTGGTTATTTTTACTTTCTTCACACTTTGCTGTTCACTCGTTTCTTGAGGTTTATAAGCTATTTTATGAGAAACATTCTTTCTACACAATAAATAAAAGGGGTGAGAAAGAGTGGAAGCTCTTCAAAAAATGGGTTCTGTCTAAAAAATCTCAGAGCTGATATTTGGAAGAAACTTAGAGGATTGATGGCCAGAAGTTGATGACCAACATTTTTCGAAATTTCATTAATCTCCAAATGCTGAAAACTTATTATATTGCCTTGTGCTTATACCTATTCTACTTTGATGATGTCTACATCAAGACCTGCACTATATTTAACGCTGACGTTAAAGGCTATCTGTCCTTGACAACACAGGACCAGTAGAGGGGGACAGGTTGCTGATTGCAGTCTTCCTTGGAACTGTAGTGGTATCGAGATCCATTTGTTCTCAATTCATTGCAGCCAAGTCAAACTACCATTAACATATATGTTGCTAATAGATTCTTTTAAAACACCTTCGAACTAATCACTTACACAGTTTGTAAGGTGGAAGTGCATACTGCAAATTCTAACTCAAACATGAAGTAGATGACCACCTGTGGCACTTGAGAAGTGCTATTATTTTAAGACTTAGTTTATTGATTCATGGCCCAGATATATACATTATGCATAGTGTGACAGAAGTATCCAAATTTATGAGTGATAGTAATCTACTGCACTGAAATACGCTGGCCTTTTTCCCTAATGTTTAAGCACAGCCAAAATAAGAAGCCATTCTCTCAGCATGCAGCTGTAAAAACCAGTGGGGGTGGGGGGTTGGACGGCATTTTTTGCATCAACACTACGACCTGTAAGCATTGAAATGTTTTGAAAGATAGTGAATGTTACTATTTTCAACATACGTGATGCAGACTGTTCACCTCCTTGATAGTCTGTGTCCAGGCCATCATAGATATCTACAGAGTTTTCATTGTCAGTCTTCACTGGGGAAACTACAATATGCACAAAGAGAAAGCCAACAAATACTTCAAAAATGATTAAAAGCACACAAATGAGAAAACTGAAATTGAACTCATTACTTTGTAGCCCTGGAACCATGTGGGTAGTTGTCATACAAGAAATGAAATGCAAAAAAGAACAAACTGCTCAGTTATCAGAGGGAAGAACATAACAAGCAAGGCAAAAGTGAGAGAGAGCTGCTAAGAGACAGAAAGACAGTGGGGATGGAAAAAACATACAATGCGACAGACAGACAAACATACATATCTTCATAAAGAAAAACAGAAAAATGCTCAGGTCAGGCAGCATTTGTGCAAAGAAATAGAACTAAATTTTAGTCCCAGGGTGTTTCATCAGAACAGGGAAATAGTTGGAAATTCACAGGGGGAGTGTGGAAGGATGGATAAAAGGGCAAAATGCAGACTAGTTTAAATAACAGCAGATTCCTTGGTACAAAGTGAAAGAGAGTGGAATTGGGAGACGTGAACAGAACTTTCAATATTAAAGGGGCTAAAAGGGTAATTGGTTTATTCAACTGTGCTTGCACTGGGAGATGCCTTAGGAAATGGAAGAATGCTGGGGGTGACTGAGCAGTGGACCAAGGTTAGTTGGATTGAATGATCCTTTCAGAATGCTAAAGCAGAAAAAGGAGGATTGCAGCATTCACTCTACAGGATTATCCACTAACGTGTAGCTTGGTGGGGTTAAAAATTTAAAAACACAGAATCCCTACTGTGGTATTGGGAGGGTGGGGAAAAGGTAAGGGTGGGAAGATGGTGAAACAGAGAAGACATGGTGGAGGACCCCACTGATCACACCGGAGGCAGGGAGAAGAGAATCCACCATTCAGGAAAAAGAAACACATATTCAAAGCACAAGTAGGGATGTTTACATTGTCTGAAAAAAAAATGCAATGGAGATGGACAGACTTGAGGATGGAACAGCATCCTAAAAGGAAACAGGGAGAAGGAAACATAGAAATAGGGAGTCAATGGATCTACAGTCAATATTTACAGTCTCACCTGTTCCAGGGGCGTGTAATAATATTTCTGAACAAATTGATTTAGAAAATAACTTTTTTTTTAGTTGATAGCCTAACAAAAGAAACAGAGCCAGAATAGGCAAGGCAAGGAAGCGAAGAGTCAGAGATTGATTTTGTGAAGGCCAAGGTTGACATGATGTTCAACATTAGGGTGGGTAGTTAACAGCATCAGTGCACCAGAAAGAGGGGTATGGAAGTGGGCACCATGAAACCTTTCATAATTTTAGCTCTCCTGCCTCTCCATGCCTACCGTAAGACCGCTCTTTGGTTTATCTTCCCACCTTCTCGCTTGTTCATTTGTTCAAAACCTGTTACATTTCCAAACTTTCTTCCATTCTGATCAAAGGTCAGAAATATTAACTCCATTCTCTCTCCACATTCATGCTGCCAGACTTGCGGAGTATTACCAGTATTTTGTGATTTGATTTCAGATTTCCAGCACCCACAGTATTTTGGTTTCAAATAAATTTCCCAGAACTAATTGTAAAATACCAAACTATACATTATAAATTGAGGAAGCGTGCACAAACTAGTGCTCAGACTTGTGATAACAACCATCACCTCACATCAGATCCACGTCCTCTCTGGTGACAAACCAGCACCCTCCTTCAACCACCCCCCACCCCAATATATGTTGCCAAACTCCAAAAGCCCAGGTCAGTTCTGCTAAAGCTTCCCCAAAGCAGCTGAATTGAAGGCCCTTAAGCCCAGTCCACCTTCCCAGTACCAGTAAATTAACAATTAACTCAAATTGGTACATCTTTGTTCTATATTCCCAACTATAAAATGTTTAGAGAATAACAATTAAGTATAAGAAAACGCATTTACGATGTACTCAGAATATTGGACATGAAATTTGATCCATGAAGCACCACTGCTGAAAAAGACATTTTGTCACTCATTCGGACAATTCACAAGAAACACCAGTGCAAGGGAATATAGCAATTATATGGTATGAGGGGAGTGCTGATTGGTTGGCAAGTGGACTCTGATTGTAGAGGCAATGCCATGGAGAATGCACCAGTTAGACGATGACTGACAGTTAACTGCCAAGCTTTGTAAAATGTTAAACCCAGCAGGTTGATTGATTGATCTATGTCTCAGGACAGTCCCCAGACCAGAGAATGAAGTCACTTGTTTTGTTGAGTTGAAACTGATGCAGTGTGCCTGCAAAGTATATGGGAATATGTATTAATATAGTCAGCTTACAGTATGCATAAGAGTAGCACACTGCAAGTCGAGGGACAATTCTAAATTGGTAATCAGCGTAACTCATTATACACTCGGAATTATTTAGCACGTTGCCCAACGCTAAACTTGAGTAAGTGCTGTACAACAACTATTTGTATACCATTAACACAATAAATGGAACTTGGATTATTTGAATTAAATGAGCAACCCTAACAACTTTCATTGTACAACACAAAACTCTAATTCACCACAAAATAAGTACAAGACATTTTATGGTGTAAAGAAAAATAATCAATATCCAACTAGCAAAATTATTTTTAGTAAGAACCAACAAAAGTTAAATCCTTGTTTATATTTAGTGTGGGCTTCAGAAAGCTGGGAAAACACCAAAAAGCACAAAAGGAAACAAATTTCTGGGGATGCACAGCCTCACCATCTTTTTTACCCACCCACACCAAGAAAACATCATCTGTCTTCACAACACACATCTATCTTTGTGAGTTTATGTATATTTTCCCCACACAGTAGAACCAATGGTACAGCTACAGTTTAAATTGCAAATATTATCTATCTACTTTTGCTACCACATCATAAGAATTTTATTCAACACTATTTGGGATTTGTGTGTCTTCTTGAACTATTGATCATTTCTTTACATGCTTTAGGGTTAACATGCTGCACTGCATTTCAGATCTTATCATTAGAAGATCTCCCATTGTGAGATTCTGAGTGAGCTGAGGATTATACTTAGACATTAAGACCAGAAAATAACTAACAGTCACCCTTCACGATATTTTGAGGAAGGCTGCAGGATTTAGAATGTTAAGGGGTGATCTCATTGAATTCTTCAAGATGATAACAGGAAAAGACATAGTAGATAAAGATAACTATTTCTACTGGTTGGGCAGTGTTGAATTAGTGGCATAGTCCGAGAATTAGGAGAGATATTAGGAAACACTTCTACACACAGAGTGGCAGAAAGTTAGAAATTTGTTCCACAAATGGCAGTGGTTGTAAAATCAGTTGTTAATTTTAAATCTGAGGTAGATAATACCTTTTACTTAAAAATTTAATGGATTATGGGCTGAAGGCAGGTACATGGAATTTGCCTACAGATCAGCCATGATCTTACTGAATGGAGCAAGTGTTGAATGCCCTACCTGTGTTCCTGTATAGAAACACTAGTATTGGCCATAATGGATATAGGCAACTTTCCACATCAAATTGCATCTGGAGACCACACTGCTGCAAGTAACTGAGATTGATACAATGAAAACTGGAGATCACAGACAGGGTACTTGTGCTAAAATTGCAGCCATATGCTCAACAGTTTAAGTTTGTCACACACTGGCATTAAGAATTTATGTCGTTTCTTACCAAAACTGTCCTGTTGCAACAGGTCACCATAAAGGTAATCCACGTGGCTGCTTGCACTGTCACTCTCCATGATGTCTTCAGAAATTCTCCATCTGAATGAAGTAAAGATTTATAGTCATCAAGTTTTGGTTGGATCAGCACTTTAACTTTATTAGTGCACATTAGCAAAACAGCCACTGGCTCAATAACAGGTACAGATGTCTGTCAAGTCTGCTGAACTTCCCTGGTTGTTGAGTTTCATTGGTCAAGTTTTATTGCATTTTTAAGCTACACATGCTTAAATATACTTCCTTTGACAAAATACCCTAATTGATATTGAAATAACGCATCGAGTAATTTTAAAATAGTTATTATGGAGATTGTACATCTAAGATTTTTCAGAATCATAGTCACCTTTGTATTGAGTTTTTTAAATAATCTAATGAACAAAACACAACGAACGCTAGCTTCAAAGTATATTTTGTATGAAATGTACCTTGCTGACAAATGAAAATTCTGTTGAAATCCAATCAATTCTTATATTACAAGTTGAAAATACCTGCAACTATGGATGAACTACTTTTGGCTTGCTCTGAAAGAAAAACTCTCCAAAATACACCAAACCAAAATGAGTCAAGATAACAAATCCCAGATAATTAATCTTTTTTTTCCAATGTTCACAACTTCCTGCCGACTTCCACATGAAGTGAAGTATTCCATTGTATGAAAAGTATATCTACAATTTAAACTACAGCAAGTCTCATTCCACGATAAGCGCAATTATTTGTTTCACAAGCTATACTTAGATATCTTGAAATATTGACAGCTTTGTTTTAAAGGAGTTGGTTAGTCATTGCAGATTTGCTAAAGAAAAGATCTACTTCCATGCCAGCAGAATTTCCCAAAATATCACAATCAATGACTACAGCTTTAATACAATTTGTCCTGAGTTGTAGCAATCAGACACAAACAGCATGCGATCATGTGCAGCAACTCTCATTCAAAGCAGTCCAAGCTGATGCAGCAGCGACAACACTGGCATCTACTTGGCAGAATGGAAAACTGCCGAGGTAGGTCCTCATCAAAAAGCAAGACAAATCCAATCTGACCAATTTCTGCCACAGTCTACACTCGATTATCAGTAAAGTGATAGAAGAGGTCATCAACAGTTCTGTCAGGCAGCACTTGTTCTGCAATAAAGGTAAGGAAAGGTAAGGACAGCAGAGTCTTACCGGACCATAGGGTTTCTGTATCATTAGAGAGAGACAACTGGTGGACATTTAACCAGAGGGTCATCATCCCTCAGGTGAGGGGCAACGTCGAGAAAGAGAGTCCTTCATCGTAACCTCAGCCAGTGTGGGAACTGAACCCATGCTGTTGGCATCGCTCTGCATCACAAACAAGCTATTCAGCCAACTGAGCTAACCTAACCTGTTCACTGACACTCACTTTGGGCTCCATCAGGCCCACTCACCTCCTGACCTGGTTTGGGCTGATTTGTGGCAAATAACATTTAAGCTGCACAAGTCTTAAGCCTTAGTTCAAACATTAACAAAAGATGTGAACTTCAGAAATATTGGGAGAGTGACCGGCCTTAAAATCAAAGCAGCAATCAACAGAGTACATTAAGTATTATGCCTTCAAAACTGGAGTCAAACGAAAATCAGGGGGAAAATTTTCTGCTGGTTGGAATCTAACCTAATAAAGGAAGTTGGTTGTGGTTGCTGGAGGCAAATCATCTCAGTTCCAGGACAAGTCACTCAGGGTAGTGTCCTTGGCCTGACCATCTTCAGCTCCTTCAATGTCCCTCTCTTCATCATAAAGTGAACTTGTTGATGATTGCACAACGTTCAGCACCATTTGCGACTTCTCAGAAACTGAAGTACGCCATATACAGTCAGATCCAGTCAGAGTTAAGGCTCAGGCCAATTAGTGGCAAGTAACTTCTGTGCCACACAAGTGTCAAGCAATGACGATCTCAAACAAGAAGAGAATCTAACTGTTGTCCCTTTGACATCACCATTGACCAATCCCCTATCAAAATCCTGAGGTTACCATGCCCAGAAACTGAACTAGCTATATAAATACTGAGACTAGTGTGGCTAAATTATGAGGGGCATAGATCAAGCAGACAGGAAGAAACTATTTTTCCTTAGGAGGATCAATGACCAGCAGGATTCATTTAAAATAAGTGGCAGAAGGTTTAGAGGACAGGTGAGGAAGAGGGTGGTGGGAAACTGAAACTCATTACCTGTAAGGAAGGTAGGCACAAACCCTCATACTACTTAAGAAGTATTCAGATGTGCAGCTGTGATGCTAAGGCATACAAGGCTATGGGCCAGGTGCTGGAAACTGGGATTAGAATAGTTAGGTGGTGGTTGTTTCTGACCAGTAGTGGCATGATGGGCCAAAGGGCCTTTTTCTGTACTGTAGATCTCTATGACTAAGAGCATATCAGAGGCTGGGAACTCTGAGGCAATTAACTCACTTCTTTCTCCCAACCATCTACCAGGCACAAGCCAACATTATGACAGAAAATACTCCACTTGCCTGAATGAGTGCAACTACAATACAACTCAAAAGGCAGAACAAAGCAATCTGCTTGATCGGCACCCATCCACCACTTTTAGCTTCCTCTTTTGCCACACAGAGTGGTGGCTGTGTACAACATTTATAAGATAAACTGCAGCAGCTCACTAAGGCTCCGTTGATGGCATCTTTCAAACATGTCACTTCTACCACCTAGAAGGAAAACAGCAGATTCATGCGAACTCCACCATTCGCAAGTTCCCTTCCAACCAAACATCTAGCTGGCTTCAAACTATACTACTATTCTTATGTCACTAGGCTATAAACCTTGGGAATAGCTCCCTAATAGCACTGTGGGTGCATCTACACAACATGGACTATAGTGGTTCAAGAAAGCAACATATTTTCCTTTACTATCATTATCTCATTCATCCACAATTTTTCATTACTCGTGTCTGTAGTACAATACATTTCTCTTAAACTCGACTGATCATTTTAGTATTTTTCCCAGTGCTGTTCTAACACTAGATTTTTTTTTCTCACAGCATATCTCTGCTAGCTCCATTCTAGTTCCCTCAAAATTAGCTTTATTCCTCAAATCTATTACTTTGATCTTTGTCTTGCATTGTGCTGATTACTTTGGATGTTTCTGTTATGATCACTATTGACGATATGTTCCTCTATTCTCATTTTAACCATCTGCTCTGACTCAATTCCTATTTCTTCTTTTGTTTAGCTTTTTACATTCTGCATAAGAGAATACAGAACATGCAGTAGAAAACTTCATTCCTTCCTCCTACATCCCTTCTTTCGGGTATTTGATTTCATTTAAAATAATAAATTGAGTAAAAGATATGGAATAATGAATTTGTTTACCTATTTCTTGCTCCAGTTCCTTCCATTTAGTACCACTGAATCAGAGTACAAAGGAGGCCCTTTGGCCCATCAAGTTGGATCAGCTTGTACTGCCAAAAATATACTACCTAAACCAGTCCGACTTTCCTGCACTAGGCCCATAGTCTTGAATGTTATGACACTTTAAGTCCTCATCCCGAAAAGTCAGCCTTCCTGCTCCTCTGATGCTGCTTGGCCTGCTGTGTTCATCCAGCTCTACACCTTGTTATCCAAGGTTTCCTACCTCCCAGGCAGCGCACTCCAGATTCCTTCCACCCTCTGAGTGAACCATGTTTCCCCCCTCAAATCTCCCCTAAATCTCTTCCCTTTCATCTTAAGATTAAGGCCCCTGGTTATTGATCCTTTACTAAGGGGAACAGAAGCTTTCCATTCACCCTGTCCGTGACCCTCATGATCTTATATGCCTTAATCAGATCCCCTCCTTGTTTTCTCTGCTCCAAAGAAAACAATCTGAGCTTATTCAGCCTCTCTTTATAGCCGAAATGCTCCATTCCAGTCACGATCCTGGCAAACCTGCTTTGCATTGGTGCAATTACATCCTTCCTGTAATGTGATGACCAGAACCGGGCACAGAAATCTAGCTGTGACCTTCCCAAAGTTCTGTATGGTTCCAAGATAATCTCCCTACTCTTATAATCTATGTCATGACTGACAGAGGCAAGTATTCCATAGGCCTTCTTAACCACTCTATTAACCTGTCCTGCCACTTTCGTGTATCTGTGGACAAGCACCCCAAGAACCAGAAGTAAACTGACTGTATGGATAAGTGAACATCAACTAACCACCATGAGACACGACCAGTTCTCACTTGTCTCACTGCATACAGACAACGAGACATGCGAATTCTACTGGGACAACAAATCCATAATCGCACAAGCCAAACAGACATGCCAGGGAATTCCTGGAAGCCTGATATTCCAACCGGAACTCCATCAACGAACGCATTGAATTAGACCCTATGTACAAACCACCAAGAAACAAAACCGGAAATAATACCAACAACCCCAGAAAACCGAGGCATATAAATATCAAGCAGGACAAAACACCGAAGCTTCACTGGAAGCGCGTTGACGATGTTACCAAGCAGGGTGGCAAAACATTTGCAACCAAACCCAATGGCTCGGGAAGCATGTTTACAACCTCATCCACAACTCAAGCTACAAATCTTCTCAAAAACTTTAAGCTTTTACTTTCTTTATCAATTTCCCACGTGGGACCTTGTCAAAGGTCTTGCTGAAATCCACACAAACTACATCAACTGCCCATCCAAACACTCGATCAGCTCCTTGAAAATTTCCACTAGATTTGTGAGGTATGACTTCCCCTGACAAAGCCATGCTGACTATCCCTGATCAAATCTTGCCTCTCTAAATGGAATTGAATTTTCTCATTCACTATTTTCTCCAATAGTTTCCCTACCACTGATGTTAGATGCACTGGTCTATAGTTCCTGGTCTATCACTACCACCATTCTCAAAGTGGAACCACATTAGCTGTTCTCTGGCACCTTCCCTGTGGAGGACAGCTTTTAAAGAAATTTGGGTCAGGATCCTGTAATTTTCTCCCTTGTCCCCCACAACAGCCTGGGATGCACCTCATCTAGACTTGGGTATTTGTAATCAATGTTATCCAAATCCTTGGCGTCAATTTAGACAGATTTAATTTTTGTTTTCATGTTAGTCATATACTTTTTTTCTCTAGAGGGTTCTATCTACTTAACAAATCAAATCGTCCATGACAACATCCTTGCCATTCTGCACCTCCCTTGTTGGACCACTTTTTGGCACCATGGATAGCATTACATCGATCATTCCAACAGCTTTCAACTTTATCTTCACAAGTAACGGTACTGAAGTATAACACCGAAGGATATGCAAGATTAATAGTGACATTTACGTACCATTGCTCCATTCAAATATTTTGCTTATGTCTTGTCAAATAGGCTCTACAATTACATTCTAGATGTTTGTACAAGTTGAGCACATCTACAAATTACATCCTATTGTTTCAGCTACATAACAATATTATATTAGATTTAAGCCTCAGAGCATTAAGTCATAAAACTCATTGGTCTCTTACTTAATTTTAAACTACTCCTGCACTGTATGTGGAGAATGTTTGACACGTTCCCTCTTGCCTACATATTTACACTTTTTGGCAATGAATTTCTGTCAGTTCTCCCACACTTATTGGCAATAAATTTGTCAGTTCTCCCCCCACACACTTTACAATTTCATCCATATTGAGCATTCCCTTCAGATGTGATTAGTCACATGGACTTGATTAAAAAAAATCCAAATCATTGAACGTAAATTAGAAATACTAAAGGTATCTTCCTGACCTGAAAATACGGAAGTGAAGGAACAGGTGTAGGCCATTCAGCCAATCAAGTCTGCTCCACCATTCAATACAATCATATCTGATGGAACACTTCAACGCCTTTTATCCGTGACATTCCCATAATCCTTTGTGCTGTTGGTAATCAAAAATTTATCAAGCTCTCCTTTAAACTTACTCAGAGGCCAAGTTTCCACAGTCCTCAGGTGTAGGGAATTCCAAAGACTCATAACCCTGAATAAAATAAATTCTCCTCACCTTAGTCCTAAATGAAACCCCTTAAATTTTAAATTGGGGTCTGGTTTTAAGTTCTCCAACCAGGAGAAACATCTTGCCTGTATCTACCCAGCGTAACACATTAAATGTTTTGTATTTCAATGAGATCACCTTGCATTCTTCAAAACTGTAAACAATACAGGCCCATTTTGCCCAATCTCTCTTCACAAGACAGTCTAGCCATCCTGAGAACAAGCCGATTAAACCTCTGTTGCAATCCCTCTATGGCAATTATCTTTTCTGAGGTAAAGACAATAAACTTAAACATGGTACTCCAAGTCTAATCTAACCAAGCTCTTACACACAGTAAGATTTCACTACTCCTGTCCTCAAAACCTCATGATAGAGGCTAACGTTCCATTAGCCTTTCCAACACCTTGCTGGACTTGCATATTAGCCTTCAGTGACTCATCAACAATGACAGCCAGATCTCTTTGTATATCTACACTTTTCAACCTCTTACCATATAAGAAATACACTGCACATACGCTCCTCCTATTAAAGTGGATAACCTCACATTTTGTATTTGATCTGCCATGTTCTTGCCTACCTGCTAAGCCCATCCAAACCCTCCTCAAGTGACAGTGATATTCAGATAAGACTACTATGGTATATTCACTTTGCTTCAATGCTTAGAATTGTTGTTTAAGCAATTTAAATTTCAGAGTAAACATTTACCCAGGTCCCGCTTGAATTACTTATCCACCCAAGTGCATATCCAGACATCATGCTTCATATGCAGAGTACAATGCAGAGGATGGTGAGTATAAGTTAAATGTGAACACTTTTTCAGCTTTTGTTCATGCCTCTTAGTTACACAGTGCCCAGAAGATTGGCACCAAGATCAATAAATAACATGTAATACTCAATGAATTCTGAAAGAACTGCAGATGCTGTAAATCAGAAACAAAAACAGAAATTGCTCCAAAAGCTCAGCAGCTCTGGCAGCATCTGTGAAGAGAAATCAGAGTCTGAGAAAGGGTCACCAGTCCCGAAACGATATCTCTGATTTTTCTTCACAGATGTTGCCAGATTTGCTGAGCTTTTTCAGCAATTTCTGTTTTTGTGAGCAAAGAATACTCATTTATACCCCTCAAACATGTGTTTTGCTGAAAACAATCCATCCGGTTCTTGGCATTGCTAACTAGCACAAAAAAATTTACTTTTTAAGTCACTTGTTAAACTCCCATCCTTTAAACTTAACTGCACAATCATTATTCCTCTGCTGAGCTTGTACTGATTATGTAGAACAATATCATAAAGAGTATTCAGATTTAATGTACTTGGAATGTTCAATGGTTCAAACCCCATGAGCTGTACACTCCAACCTCCAAACTCACACACACAACTGTAAACACTTCTACATGCCCTCTACTAAACAGTCAGTATCCTCACATTGTGATAACAACACAGATTACGAAGAACAATCATCATTTATTGGCCACACTTTGAAAAGGTGCCCTTCTATCACTACACTACAAGGTATTGTGGTCATTTTCCAGATGTCTCAGTAGACAAGAGCTTGGTGCAGCAGATGGGCATTGAGCTGTGCAAACATGGAAGAGCCTAGATCTCCATGGTATGATTTCCTTTCTGTGCCATTTTGCCACTCAGAACAAACATCGCACCAAGGAGTTAAAAATCAGTTTACGGTTCCTGCTGCTGAACATTAACTGTCGGAGCTTCTGGAGCTTGGCTGCACATACCCGAGGAGGAGGGTGAAAGGCCAACATTGGACTTAAAGCGTAGACCTAAATGCCGAGAGGAGATAGGTGACAAAAAAAAATACAAATCCAACTACAGCCCAGGAAAACCCACTCAGTGAGCACGGCAAATACACAGAACCCGAAGAAAACACAAACGCAAAGTTTTGATTTATCCATGTTGCAGTTATGGAGTGAACAGCCCTCAAACTGAGGATATATATTAGAGAAGGAACACGCACAGTACAACACAGGGATGCACTAGTGCTGGGGGATGGGGGTGGGAAGTACTGGTTCTCTAGGAGTTTGTTATTTTTCTCATACATTCGGGCCACAACCAAACACACACATGTTCCGACAGTAAATAAATAGAGGGTCGGAGTTTTTTTTCCTTACCGCGGTCTGTCGAGGTTGCCAGTGCCAGCCTCCTGTCCCGGACCGTCCTTCTCTCTGCTCCCGGGCCCCAGCTCGCTCTCAGCCGCCTGTCACTCAGCCTCGCACCCCTCTGGCCCGGGAGATGAGAGCGAGGCTGCCCGCGCGCCTTCCACTTTCCGCCCCGGGCCTCCGTCCACCTCTTTTGCCCGCCCTCTTCCCACAACCCCCCACCAACACAGCGGAGCACCCAGCCCTCCGACGGCAGCGACATCTCCAGGCTGCTCGTACCGCTGCAAGCGAACTGTTACCCAGGCCTTGCACAGGCAGCAGCAATGTCCCGGATTGGAGAGAGAAGGGAGGGAGGCCGTTAGCAGAATCGCTTCAAACTGAAGCTTTATCAGTTGTCACGCGCGAGGTGCAAGAGCTATATTTTAATTTGAATTGAAACGTTGCTCTGTCTCGATGCCCATTAAGACCCTAAAATTAGCCACAGTTTTATGTATTTAGATGCGTTTGTTGAAAATTGTGTCTGCACTGGCTCTCTGAGCGTTTTGAATTAGTGCCAATTTCTTGCCTCTTCCAGTAACCTTGAACATTGTTTCTATTTAAAATTATCTTCCACCACATCTCCAGGCAGCACATTCAAGATCATAGCTACTTGCTGTGTAAAGAAGTTTTTTTTCCTTATCTCACATTTGTTTTTTCTTCAAATTTATGACTGCTGGTTCTTGATCCGTTTATCAATGAGAACAGTTTCTCACCATCTACTCTGTCTAGACTCCTCATGATTTTGAAAACTTCTATCAAATCTCTTCTTAGTCTTCTCCTCTCCAAGGCCGTTTCATCTTCTTCAGTCTTATCCCAGTATTGAAGATCCTTATCCCTGAAACTATTCTTGTTAATTTCTTAGGATAGAATAGAATATTAATTTATTGTCACTTGTATTTTTCAAAAGTGAAAAGTGTTTAAGTCTCCATACTCTAACACCATTTTAATGTAAAAAAAGAAAAATTTAAGACAAAGTCCATCTTAGTTCAATTCATACCTCCAGGACGCCTGAGATCAAGGAAACCCAACACCAAAGCTGCCACAAGGAATCCGAAGCTGGGCCGGACCTACCATCTATTTATTATCTTTTCTAAAGTATCGGGCCGAGAACTATACACAACTTTCCAGCTTAAGTCTAACCAGTGTCTGATATACGCTTTATTCATTGCTCTCCATCTGTCTTGCCACCTTTAATGATTCATGCATAGCTTGGTCTCTCTGTTCCTGCACGTCCTTTAGAATAACACCCCTAGTTTATAGTGTCTTATCAAGATTGTTGAAGCAAAATGTATCATTTACATTCTCACTCAATTTCACCTGGCCTCCACCAACAGCAAATGAGTAAGGGCAAGATTGTATGAGAAATTGGAAAGCTGTCGTAATTGCAGTGACTTTTATTATAAAGGGAATGGAGTATAAAAATAGTAAAGTTTTGCAAAAACTGTACAAGGCAGTAGTTACATAACACTTAGAATACTGCAAACAGTTTTGCTCTCCTCCTCCAAGAAAAGATACACTGGCATTGAAAGCAGTCCACAGAAGATTCACTAGGTTGATCTTGGGTATGGAAGGATATTCTTATGAGGAGCAGTTGGAGTAGATTGGGCTTGTACTCGTGGCGTTTAGATGAATGAGAGGCAACCTTATTTAAATATACAAGATTCTTAAGGGGCTTGACAGGGTAGATGCTGCGAGGTTGTTGATGTGGAGGAATTTCTTAGAAGGAAGTGAATCTGCAGAAATCTTTACCAGAGGAGGCTGTAGAGGCTAGGTATATTCAAGGCTAAGATTGTTTTTAAGCAGTAAATTTATCAAGTGCTACTAGAATAAGGCAGTAAAATGGATTTGAGGCTTATCAGATCAGCCACAAACTGACTAAAAGATTGAACAAACTTAATGTGTAGAATTGCATGCTTCTGCTCTACACCATGTGATCTTATGAAAAGGGCATGTGGCTTCCACACAGATTCTCTCCCATTTTGCCTTCTCCATGGTTTAGCAAGAATGTCATTTCAATTCTTGGACCCTGAATTTTGAACATTCAGTGACTTTCATTGTAAACGGAAGTAGTCTAAAGATAGCTTAGAGGGATAAACTAGTAAAAAGACACTTGGAAATGAATGTGCTGGTCATACACTCTGAAACAGTTGGTCCCAACGTTTTCAGTATCAAGGCACACTTCAGTGAGACAAACAATTCCATGGCACACCCACTCTTCATAGCTGACCACCAGCCATTCAGCTACATCTCACAACACACAGCCATCTTGCTGAAGTCACCTCATGGCCCAGTCACATAGAGGAAGCTCAGTCACTAGCAGTAGCAGCAGTCCCCCCACTGCGTAGGGCTTGCGTAAGGCAGTGAGTTGAACTCCTCTCCCCCGGACTCTGCTCCAAGAAAGGGAGCTGCAGTTCCTGCACTCACCATGTTCTTGGCTTCACTCTGGTACAGCCTTAATGACCAGCACATTGAGTGACAGTGCCTTTCACTAATCAGATGCTGGGCGCTGCTTCCCCCATCCACGATAGGGGCAGTTAGTGTCACCAAATAAAGAAAGTTTGATGGCACACTTCTCACCTTGTTGCGGTGGACCAGTTGAAAACAACTTTCCTTAGATATACAAAACCAGTCGGACCAGTGTTCACCATTCTCAAGTTTTGCTAGTTTCGGGGTCATGTAAATTTTGAGTGGTGGGGCTGTGATTATCTCCTTTCATGGCTTGTTCCACTGTGAGATTGTCCTTGGAAAGAAAAATTGTTGAAGCATTGTCTTGGAAACAAATAGTTTTTGATGTTTGTATTGATGGCTACCACATGCCTTGCCATTGCTGGAAGACAGCAGGCGCATGTTTCTGCTGTTTTCCACCATTCTATTCCACCTTTCATAGAATGTGGTCAGTCTTTTCTTCCCCCTCCTCTGCTGTAGTGATTCCCATTTCAGATCTTTGATCAAGGATATGAAGTAGGTGAATTTCCGCAAATGAATCGTGCAGCATGTCTTTAATTGCTTCAATCTTATATCTCTTGCCATTTGAAGATCCCACTAACCACTTACATTACACTAGGTTTGACTGAACAAACAATTAATAGGTTATAACTTTTTTTTTGCAATACCAAATCCTTCCATGTTCGTATTTTCAGAATAGGAGATATTTTTGATTTATTTACAGGACCTGAGTGTCACTGTCAAGGCCAATATGTATTGCTCATCCCTAATTGCTGTCATGAAGCTGTTCAAAGTTGCTTTCTTGAGCCACTGAAGTCCATCCACAGCACTCTTGGGAAGGGAGTTCCAGGATTCTGAGTGTGTGACATTGAAAGAGTCAGGATGGTGAGTGGCAGAAAGGGGAACTTGCAGGTGGTGGTGTTCCTATACATCTGTTGTTTTATCCTTCTAGATGGTAGAGGGTACGGGTTTTGGAAGCAATTGTCAGGACAGCCTTGGTGAGTTATTGCAGTGCATCTTGTAATGGTACACATTGCTGCAACTGTGATGCTGAAGGAGATGCATATTGAATGTGGTACCAAGCAAGCAGGCTGCTTTGAAAACAAAAAATGCTGGAAATCACAGCGGGTCAAGCAGCATCGGTGGAAAGAGAGCAAGCTAACGTTTTGAGTCTCGACGAATCTCTCTCTATCAGAAGTGTGGTGTGGAGGGGACAGCATTAATGCAATGATGTGGGGATGGAGTGCTTTGGGAGAAAGAATGCTGATAGTGGTGCAATGCTCTGTAAGGTATTGAACTACTGCTTGAGTGTTGTTGGAGCTGCACTTATCCTGAAAACTGAAGAGAATTCCATCACACTCCTGACTTGCGTCTTGTTGGTGGACATCTGGGAGACAGGAAGTGCAGAAATCGTTGCGGGATTCCCATCATCTGGTCTGCACCAGTAGCCACAGTAGTTCTTTGATTGGTATTTGTATGATGGATAAAGCAACAACACAGGCTTATTGCAAAACTTCCTGCTTTTCCGTCTTATCATTCGCGATGTAATATTCCAATACCTTGCCCATTGAGCGCCTCTATTACTGCCACTTTCTATTTTGATCGTGCACTTAGTTCTGTTGTGACTGTTTCAGCTTAACAATGATTTGCATTTCCATAATTTTATTCTGTATTTTTTGTTAAAAACGGTACAAATACTAAAATACTTTTATAAAGAAAAGGAAGATTTCCTTGTGGATGATGTTTCCAGCAATTGGCAATGAATTGAGTCTTTCTTTACAGTTTGCAATGCGCAATACAAAATAAAAGACGCTAACATAAAACGAGGTCTGCAGCTTTAAAAAGTGCTGCACAATTGTAAGTCTGAAGGTGTTGCAGGCTTAAAAATGGTTTGTTTGGGTGATATAATTTGCAAGGCTCATTGTACCAATCAGTGCTACCGGAGGCAGTTAAGTGTGTGGAAACTGCTTTGGGGGAGGTTTTTCAGTTTTAAATGTGCATGTGCCCCGGAAGTATTCTGCTCAGTCTCTTCCACGTGTGACTGTCTTATAGTTTGGAGCTGGAAGAGGAGCTGTTTGTGGAACATGCTGCTGGTGGTTGGGTAACTTTCCTCAGCATTCAGCCGCAGACCTCACCCTGAAACCCTGCTTCAGGGTCGCTGCCACGATGGAGGACCTGGAGTTTCAGTTCTCTTCTCTTGCACTGATCGCCAAGTTAAACGACAAGAGCGGCACCGAGTTGAACAAATACTTGACCAAACAGGTGAGTGACTAATTGAGTGAATCCGAGCTTGGCCCCAGGGCTGGTGCGTTATGTGATAGACTTTGGGAACGGGCATAGGACCTTCATCTGTTCCCCCCCGCTCCCAGCTTCTCTTAACCTCTCAGTTTTTTCACAGTCAATGCCTTCACAAACCTGGTAAGAGTTCAGTCAGATCGTGTTGCAATAGGTCGATTGCAGTTGATTTTAATATTTAGAAAAATGGTTTCCAAATGAACTGTCACAATGAAGACAGCAGTACTGTGTCTTGACCACTTAGCTGCAATTTATTTGGATGCTCCGGGAGGCATACCAAAGTTGTCACTCAGATTGGATTATTGGCCTTGTCCAGTAATTTTAGTCATTTAACCTGCGATGTTGTCTCCAGAGTCAGGATTGCTGCTTAATGTCTGAGTTGAGTTCTGTTTTTATTATGCCAGTGCTTTCTACTGATGCCTGAATTCTGTGAAAATTACATGACTATGTAGCTTTTTATGGCAGCCTTCACATTACAAGGCATTAAAAGCAATCCAAGAGTACTAAATAATCAGGATAAAACTGAGTAAACAAACATAGTAATTGTTACTGGAGAAAAAGTGGTCCGGAAACTATTAGGTTTCAAGGCCAGTAAGCTCCTTGCGCTTGGTGAGTTGCACCTGAGGATGTTAAAAGAAGGAGCTACAGAGATGGTAATAGATACATTGCCAGTAGTCTTCCAAGAATCCTTAGCATCTGAAAAAGTCCCAGAGGATTAGAAAACTGTCATTGTAACATCTTCATTTGGAATGGAAGAAGACAAATTGGTAGCTAAAGTTTAGTTAGCTTAATACCTATTATTGGAGAAATGTGAGATTCAATTATAAAGAATGTAATAGCACAACATTTAGATTTGCATAATATAATCAAGCAGCATGAACAGTGAAGTAAATGATGCCAGACAAATTAATTCAAATATGTAGAGGAGGTAACCAGCAGGATAGATAAAAAGGAATCAGTGGATGTGTTTGGGTTTCCAAAATGCATTTGATAATATGCTAAACAAGGTTACTTCACAGGATGAGAACCTATGGTGTTGGAAGTAGTATGTTAATATAGTTAGTAGATGTTAGAAGCCAGGATGTAGAGGTGCTGGTGTTGGACTGGGGTTGACAAAATCAGAAATCACACAACACCAGGTAATTGTCCAATAGGTTTATTTGAAATCACAAGCCTTTGGTGTGCTGCTCCTTTGTCAGGTAAAGTGGATGGAAATCTTCCCTTTTTCAGGACCTGCAACTAATGAGATACCGCAAGGATTAGTCCTGAGGCTGCAATTATGCTTGTATATTAATTACTTCAATAAGGGGTGTGAATGTACTACCACCAAATTTGCAGATAGTACAAAAGTAGGTGAGAAGACAAGTGATGAAGATGACACAGTCTACATAGGGATACAGACAGGTTAAGTGAGTGGGCAAAACCTGGCAAATAAAATGTGTTGTGGTAAAATATGAGGTTATGCTCTTTGGTGCAATGATGAATTGGGGAGGGGGGGGTGTTGTCTGTGCAGAAATGACAAACTTCAAGGACAAGCTTGTTCTGTGATACTTTATTAAACACATTATCTCCAACCTCTTGGGTGTTGATTAAATGGCTAGAATGCAGAGTTATGTCAGCAATGCTGGTTCTGGCTGTGCTAGCTCATGAAGGCCTACCTGCTTACCTTGTCCCATTCTTGTCGCATACTATCCCTCAAGCTATAGTATACTCAGCTGTGTTTCAAACAAAGCTGGATGCCTTTGGTGCTCTGTAGACAATGACTAATTACATGAAGGATCGCTAATTCCCTTACTGTTGTATCTAGTCTTGGTATTTGCCCCCTGGCAGGTGTTTGGAAGAATGCTGAGGAGAATGGAAAAGGATATTTAGTCTGGTGTTACTGTGTTGAAGAATGAGATTTGATGGAAGTGGAGTTTCAACCATTCATGATCTCTTGGTACCAGTTGGTCTAAAGGGAAGGCATAGAACAGGCATCAATATCACTTGGAGGAGACTGCTGCCAATGTTAAATTTGTTTTCTTTCCTGATACCTGGGGGTTGAAGGGCAATTAGTATGGTTTTGTCATTAAGGTATTTTATATATCAACTTCGTGGGCCATTGACGACATGGAGGCCATTTTTAAACAAAGAAATTTAGTCAAATTCTTGGCCTGATCTCTTATATCATTCAGATTTAAAATCTGCAATAACAATTCTGTAAAATTGTAAGACCATAACCTATGGATAATGGATTCTATTTTATTAAGAATTTAAAGGGTATAAAACAGATTCACCATGATAAGGAAGTACAAATTTATCTTTCAAATATGAAGAAGGGTTTAAAAATTGTAGCTCTCTTGTAATCTGTATTCTAACGTGATGATATAGTCAAAGTTTAACATTCTGACAGGAGAAAAGCAATAGTTTGGAATTCTTAAATGAAGGGTTATGGGTGTAATATTTGGAATAGAGAAGAAGATAAACTTGTTTTAGAAGCAGTGGCATTCACTTGCAGGGTTGTGAGCTGAGGCAAAAAATGTATTCGAGGTATGTTGAATAGGTGGATGATCTTTTCAAAATTACCATCAACAAAAGTGTTGCTGATCAAATATTGTAGGTGATATTTAAATCTACATCATGTGATTGTGTTTTTCTTTCCCCATCAATCCAGATTTGGAACGAGCAGGATCGGCAGTGTATCCTTAGCATCTTAGCTCAACTTCTGCTGGATAAAGATTGCACGCTGCTAATTGGGCGCCACCTCAGGCCTTTGCTATTGGACCTTCTTGAGCGCAATGTTCGGTCAATTAAAGGAGCCGTATTCAACCATGATTTACATGAGAGGCTGTGTGTGGCAATGAGCAAGCTTATTGATATCAGCCCTGATGTCATTTCGTAAGTTGTAAACATTGGAACTTGAAAACACTCGATGTTTTGGTTGCTGTTGGATAGAATTGAATCATGCATTTTTTTAGCATGTAAATAGCTGTATTGTAGCAAAAAGAATTTGAGGGAGGTAGTCTTTGGTCAATGAACAATTAACTTCTTTTCTCAAAATTTCCCTTTCTTCTTGTACTGAGTGAATGGGAATTGTGTGGGCCCCTGCCACTTTATGGTACTTCATTTTGAACCCTGGATTGAAATGACTGTTGGTTGGAATGAGGTGAGTCCAAAGAAGAACAAGTGGTCAGTAATGAACCAACAAATGTAGGGTTTGCTTGTACCCATAATGATTTGGGTTTTTAAAGATTAATACTTGTGATTTGGGTTTCACTATCAAAAGGCCAGATTTATTACCCTTCCCTAAATGCCCTTGAGAAGTTGGCGGTGTGCCATCCTGAACTGCTGCAACCATATAAAATTAAAGAAGCAAGCTCCATAAACAGTCTCCATTCCCATTGATGGTGACACCTAGCACATCAGTATAAAGACAAGGTGAAGCATTTTCTTCCATCTTAGATGACCCATCTAGGTTGTCTCCGGAGTTGCCCACCTTTGCAGAAGCCAGTCTTCAGCCAATTCAATTCACTTACGTGATATCAAGAGGCAGCTGAGTCACGCTGACTATACTGAAGGCTGTTGACCATTACAACAAGCCAGCTGTGGTGCTGAAGGTGTGGTCCAAGCTACCTGGGACTTCTCATTAATCTGGCCCCTACCTGACAATAAGTAAAAGCATCGGAGCATAACCATTTGTGGAGAAAAAGGACAGTGCTAAATCAACCAAATACGCTTCATCGGCAAGAATGGACACGGTAATTGACAGCACTATCAAGTGGCACCTACTCAGTAATAGTCTGCTCGCTGGTATTCACTTTTTTGGGAGGGGCAGGGAGTGGGAATTGGTGAGAAACTCCCATGACTGATGTCATGCGTAGCAGAAAGGGAGGATGGTTATAATTGTTGGATGCCACCTGAACTGCAGGAGTTCCATGGGGTAGTGTCCTCAGCCCAACCATGTTCAGCTGCTGCAGCAGGATCTGAGCAAATTTTAAGCTCACGCAAAGGTAAAAAATCTGTGCTGATGACCAGCCCCCCTGCGATAATCATCGGCATTGCCAGGAGATAATGCTGACCTTTCTTGTTTATGGACTGTAGGGTCGACATGATGCAAAGGTTTGACTTTGCAGGAGCAAGATTTCCAAGCTTTGTTTTGGTGGTTCTAGAGTGGCTCACTGTTGGAAATATTTAGGGGCATTTCAGAGAATGCAGGGCCATTTTATTCCCCTGTAATAGCAGATTGGTGATTCTTATTGATAACTCCTTTATTCTGTTTTCTATCTTGAAGGTTTGCATTGAGATACTTTAAGGATTCTCCACCAGTATTCCAGAGGCTGTTTTTGGAGAGTTCAGATTCCAGTGCAGTCCGATATGGACGGAAACGCATGAAACTCCGAGACCTCATGAGTGCAGCATATAGACTTTTGAAGGAAAACTGGATAATGTTCGGTAAATTATGGGATTGGAGTGTATGCATTCCATTGTTGAGAAGCCATGATACGTTGGTCCGCTGGTATGTATGTTGATACATGTGACAATAATAAATAAAACACTTTATAATAGCTAACTACACATATTAACCCCTTGTGATATAAATTATCAAACGGTTTGGATTACTAAATAAAATGTGAGTGTGCTTAGGCAAGATATCCTAGCCCTTTTTTTTTTTTAAAGCTACTACTGTTTGTTATATATACTTTGTAAAATTCAACTTAGCTGCATTAAAAACCTGGTTAAATTAATCAGTTTGCATTGACTATCCAAATAATTGGAAACTAAGCCCAGTTCAGGAAATGTGGGAGCTTTTCAGTCATGTACGTTGTAAAAGTATAAAGAGTTTCAGAGAGCAATTTGGCCTTTCACATGAGAACATGATCTTTACATATGTA